CTTTGAGTTTAATACAATTTAATACCGTTGTCACATGCGTAACAGACGTCGCTTGGGTTGTTCGGCCGTAGCAATACATCGGTATTCCCGATAGACCAGCACGTCCAAAAAGCGAGGTCTTAGCCGGCACGAAAATTACTTTACGACACCCAAAAATTCGACACCTCTCACACCTGAACACCACATGACCTAAGATCATAAACAGACCTTCGACAAGCAATATAACAAATGTAAGAATCACCAGACACACCCCAAACATACCGAAAAAACCAATCACCACACACTTCCACCACTTACGACAGCTTCACACCACCAATCACAACACACGAGTAGTTTATAAAATAGCGAACGCCACACGACACGACGCACAATTTTCCGATCAGTAAGCTTAGGCATTTCGCGCTCTGTTCACGTTCATTCGCAAATACATAGTTTTAATAGCAAACTGTTGTGCGTTAATAGTCTATCTTCCGAGCACTACCTGAGTCCCCTATCCCGAGTAGATTCCTCAAATGGTCTGACTCAAAAAGAAGGACAATTATCGGTTTCGCAACAAGCACGGTTTCGTAAAACCAATTTTATTCCGTTTCTTTTCAAGCAAAGCTAGTTTGTACTTGCAAATTTTTAGTAGAAGTACGCGAGTAGATTCCTCAAATGGTCTGACTCAAAAAGAGGGACAATTATCGGTTTCGCAACAAGCACGGTTTGGTAAAACCAACTAAAACCGTTTCTTTTCAAGCAAAGCTAGTTTGTACTTGCAAATTTTTAATAGAAGTACATACATCGTTTATTTTATTTATAATATACACAAGAAAGTAAACGTCAAACCTAATTGTTTCTTTTTAAACAAAGCAAGTTTGTATTACATTCCTAAGTATTATAACACCCATTATGTTTATACAAAAAGTATTGTAAGATTTGCAGCGTTATTATCACAGCTCTATTAGTAACTTTTTTCTGGATCTTAATAATTTTGAAAATTTAAATAAAAATTTGGAACACAAGGAAACAAAAGTCAACATTTAACAGTTCACTTCTAAACACATATCCAAAAAGATCAAGCGATCTATTTCACTCCGCTCTATAAAACGACACCTGAAAAACACGAACTGACTATAAAATTCATTTCTAATCCAACTTGATACCTAGAAAAAAGAACCAGCAGGACAATCAATCGGAAAAAGCAAGTAACCCATCACTCTCTAAATCTCAACAACAAATTCCCTTAATTCAACTGGCATACTCCGGCGAAAGTAATTAAGATCGATGCACCTTAGCCCGGAAGAAGTTCCCGTCCGCCGATATCCGATACTTGATCGTCCAGACACGAGGGCAGCTGATCGAGTCAGCTTCAATTATTGGAATCTTATTGCGATTCACGTGGTGTGGACTCGTGTAACACGGCGATACGAGTTTCTCGTCTCAAGTCCAATAAACTGCATAACAGGATGATGGCTGATCCGGAACACGGTTTCCACGCTAATACTCTTCGTCGACGCTTGCCAAGAACGGTGTAACGATGGCCGGACGACGAAGAAGAAGCGATTCGAGCCGGTAGTACGTTCCATTTCCCGGCGTTTCTCGATCTTCTCTCGCCGGTTACCTTACTTCTTCCCTCCCGGTACAGTTGCGCTCACTCTCGAAGATTAACCGACATTTTTCTCGTGATAAATGAAATTGTTCAACGTTCGCTGAACGTGGCCGCTTGTTACTCGGGACGTTTCGGAAGCGTGCTGCGTTCGCTGAAAAAGTTTCGTCCACTCCATTAGCTAAATGAAGTTCGCGATCAGTTGGTCGAATTGTAAGTTAATACTTGACTGTGCTGTGTGCCGTTTCCTTTCTAGGTAGAATTCTGTTTTGCGAGAACATATTTGAATTTGTTCTTGCTTTCTTTCCTTATGGAATTGGAGATTTTTGGTGGGAAATTGTGTAATCAGTTTTACAATTGTTGTTTTTTGAATTTATTCTATTTGTGAAAGTTATTGCTATTTTGAAAATATTTGATATTTTCTGAATTCCCTTGATGAAGGTGGAGGAGCAGACTAACGATTGAATTTTTTGAATGTAACTTAAAGTAACTCCGTCAACGCAGGTGAAATTCAGCATAAAATTCAGAATTTTCAGGCGCGTGAAGGTACTCTCGTGACGAACAGAATTGAACTGAAGAACTACAGCTTGCATACTTTACAAAAGACTCGATATAAAATATTTTGCCACTGAAGAATCCAGCAATTTGAATACGGAATATTTCCAAGATATCAGTTGTCAATCGAAAATCCTCTAAATGTTACCAGCAAAAATCCAAAACCAATTACTCCATACTCTGTTCACAACCCTTGATAAATCCCTTCTCAAAAAACCAAGATCAGTTACTCGATCCTCCGGTAGCAACCCAAAAAATCCATCCTCAAAAAAACAAGATCTGCTAGATCCTGCACTCACACCTCAAGAAATCCTCCCTCAAAAGAACCACGTACAAAAACCTCCAAGGGAACACGTATCTTGAATCTCTCGAACAATTTCTCCCTGTCTGACACAACCTCGACTTTCTCCACTGCTTCCTCCTGCAGCCGCAGCAGCAGCAGTAAACAAATAGAGATCTAACAATGGAATTCACGAATCTTACAACGGGTGAAAATATAACGGAGAAACTCTCTCGGACCGATGATACTCGGACGGAACAGCTGGATAAAGTTTGCAACGGTTCATCTCCAGACACTCATCCGCCTATGTAGTCCCCAACCCACAGTTTTCTGACTCCTGTGACCACGGTTTCTCAACTTTCCCAGAAGATATCAGCGCCTTCTGTGTGTGTGTGTGATTCAAGGTGGAAATCCGTGGAGAAGTACAGGCTGCTGTTGCGATTGGCCAGGAGCTAAGAGAAGAGGTGGGATTGGCGGTGGTAGTGGTGATCGATGAGATCCTTGGGAGCGATCAGTCCTTTAGCGTCCTCTGTACGATCGTTGATTTTCGGCTGACAAGGACCGCAAACACGTCAGCCAACTGGGGAGGAGATAAGAGGAGGTGTTGGCAGCGTGTACGTCAGCGGGTACCTCGTTAAAACGTGATAACTCCATCTACATGTAAATCTAATCGGGTAGACGGGGTGGCGAGGACATCAAACCTCCGTTAACCACCAGTCTACACTGTCAGCCGACAAGACGACTCGACCGAGGCGACCGCCTTAAGCTCGCTTGGAAAGCCACGACCTTAACCGTTGGCGCGTACGTCACCGCTAAATTCTCGTGTAATGAGACCTAATCCCAAAGGATGTCTTCGTGATTCTCGTGGAGCACCTTGCCAGACCGCTTCTGACGGAATTCCTGCCGCCTTGTAAAACCATCCTGCCCGCCCACCGAACCAATGCGGTTAATTATGCCTGTGAACACGTGCGCGCGTGTAC